TCGGAGTGGGTGTTGCTTCGCCTGCGGGGCTCTCCAGCGAGCGGGGCAACAGAGGGCGGCGACGCGCCCTCTGCTGGGGGCGTTCAGCGACCCTCTGCACTCGGCCGCTCATTCGGGCGCCGAAGGGGGGGCTGCCGGGACCTCGATGGGGGGCGTCGCGCGTCGCAGGGGGAGGCGGCAAGTATTGGTGCCGCGCGGGCCCCAGGTTCGATCCATTCTGAGGGTTAAACGCGCTCGTGCTCCTGGGGGTGGAGCTTTCTACGCCCCCCATCTATGGCTATGCTCCAGTACTTCCGCGAGCGCAGCCCGTTCGGGGGCCGCGTAGCGACGCGCGAGATTGGCGCGCGGCGGATAGCGGGGGTGCGGTCAGGGTGGAGACCCTGGTGAGTTGCCAGTGCACGTTCATCGATCGACTGGCGGGGGGCCGCGGCTATCTGGAGGCCGCCTGGTTCTTCGCGGGGCTGGAAGCACCGCTCGTTCAGGCGACCCGCCTCAACTCGGAGAGGGAGGCTCGGCTGCCTTTCTTCCCACTGGTGGACCCCCGTGGGCTCTCGGCGCAGGGCGACTGCGCGAAGGAGATGGCCTTTTTCCGATCGCGCCTGGAGGCCGAGCGGGTGGCGGAGCAAGCAAGAGCACCGCTGGCGCCCGCGCGGCCGGGGGCCGTGTCCCAGGCAGAGCCCAAAGGGGGCAAACCTCCTTAAAAGACCCCCCAACGAAGGACAGCGGTGCCTGAGGGGGGGGGTCGCACGTCGCGACGAGTCGATCAAGTCGACGACGTCGCGGCTGCCAAGCGTGCCTGGGCTGAGCGGAGCCGCGACCGTAGGGACGTGCTACTCCAGCGATGCTGCTGTGGCCCCGCAGGGAGATGCGCGCTCCGCGGTCGTATCTCTCGCTCCGCTTCGGCCACCCCCCCTCAGGCTCCGCTGGGTCCCTCGGGTCATCCTTGCCTTAGCGGTGTGGGCGCTGGGCTCCCAACGTGTCTCGACCGCCGCTCCTGCCGCTGGTGAGGCCGCGCCTCTTGCCGCTGACCTCTCTGCCCTGCTCCGCCTACTTCCAGGTGCGAACATCGATGCCCGCTGGTCCACTGCGTTGGCCCAGGTCGGGCAGGGTGCTCGTTGCTCTCTGTCCGCCGCTCTCTCCGCGCGCCGGTTCGGTGTGCTCCTGCTTCCGAGGATCGGCTACACGTAAGAGTGGCCTTTCGCCGGAGTGACCTTTGGTGCGGGCTCATCGGGCTCCCCCCGGTCGCCGAGCGCGATGCGATATAAGCGGCCCGCGCCCTTGGGTTTGGCTCCCTCGCGACCCCAAAAGCTGCGCACCAGAGGTCACTCTTACGCCTAGCCGAGAGGAGTATTTCCCCCCGCGATCCCTGGCCCTGTCCGCCGGCCTCCGCGCTCGAGCCCCTCCCGACGCTCGCGTCGGGCAGGCCTCGGGAGCGTGGGCTGCTGGAGCGCGCCGCGCGCACGCTGGCGCAGCGCGCTGTTGTTGCGCACGATTTTGCTGGCTTAGGGGAAGCCGAGCCTCTCGCCCGCCGAGGCGTGCGTCCGTGCAGCGGTCTCGCCCTGCTAGAGGGTGCGCGTAGCCGCGTCGAGCTCTGCGTGATCGCAGTTCGCCTTGCCCGCGGCGGCAGGAGCGACTTGGGGTGGAGATCCGCCAAGCTCGATTCCGCCGAGGTCCCGCGCCACGGCCTGGCTATCCATGTTGCAGCTATGGAGGGTTTTTTATTTTCCTTCTTCGTGCCTGCCCCCATGCGGCAATGCCCGAGCAGAACTGGCTCGCTGGCTTCTGCGGCGGCTTGGGACTCCACCCGCGCCGAGCCAATTGACCTGAAGGTATAAATCCCCGCCTCGCAGATGCGATGCTTTTTCAATGCGGGGCCCTTGAAAGTTCCAGCCCCTTCATGGTTCACGGACGGCCCTGCGTCTTCCAGCTGCTCACGAAAATTACAGAGTCCTTCTCGTCGTCCTCCGCCTCTGTATTCGCCTCTACTATCTTGGTCCCCTAGTCCACCTCGTCCTTCTCGCCCTCCTCATCCATCCTCTACGTGCCCTTAATCTCCTTCTCGTTCTCTTCTCTGTATCCTCTAACTCCTCCTCTATCCTTTTCCCTCCTCCCTCGTCCTCCCCCTGCTTCGTCCTGCCCTGATGGAGTGGGCGAGGATGGGAGGTGAAGGGGGAGGAGAGGAGGAGGGTGAGTGCGTGGGAGAAGGGACCAGACCGGAGAGCGGAGGGGTGATGAGGAAAGGGGGGAGGGGAGGAGAGGGGAAGGTGCAAGTGACATGGTCGGGGAAGGAGTGGGTTGGGGCCAGGGAGGAGTGGGGGAGGGAAGGTGTGGGGCGAGGAGGGGCTTAATCGTCGCATGCGCAGCTCTCTGAAACGTGCGCCCCCTCAGGAATTCATCGCGGAAGAGGGCACGTGCTACTTGCCCTACTGGATGATGCTGCCCCACCCGTGTTCGACAAAGGGGGTGGCGGAGTGAGACGAGGAGGAGCAAAAGGAGGAGGAAGAGGAGGAGGAGGTTGAGAAGGAGGAGGACGAGGAGGAGGAGGAGGAGGAGGACCACTGTAAACTCAAGACGCATCAACGATGTTGCAATACACCCTCCCTCCAGGTTCCCTCCTTTCAGGTCCCTGCAAAGGTGTATTTTTTACTGCTGGAAGTGCCCCGTTGGAAGACAACCGTCTGAGAATCTTCAACCGTGCCAAAAACACCAATCCTTCGACTTCAAGGTCGCGGATCAACTTTAGTGTTGCGTCCTGACCAGCCTGCATTGTGCCAGAAAGTCGTTCCTGGGACATGACACGGCGCATCAACGTGACTGCTGCGCCTTGACAGACAATCCAATGCCGTGCCAGATCGCAATTCCCGGGACGTCAACTATACAACTCCGTTGACTTGTTGTACATCTTAAGACGATGGTGCGCAGCGCTAAGGCGAGAGCCACATGTTGAGTGAAGCCGCCCGATCTCCGTGAAGCTTGTGCACACTTTCACAAAGGCGAGAGCCACACGTTGGAGCACCGCCGGCCCTCCACCACTAAGGCGAGAGCCACATGTCGAGTAAGACCGCCCGATCTCCGTGAAGCTTGTGCACGCACTTTCACTAAGGCGAGAGCCACCGTTGGAACCCCGCCGGCCCTCCATCCACGAAGCCCTTCTTAACTTTTGAGACGAATGTGCGCGGCGCTATACAGTCGGGGCGCTGAAGAAGGAACCCTTCTCATTGGGGAGGGGCTCCGTGTTCCTTAATTGTTTCGCAGCTTGCCTTAGGTTTTCCTTAGGTTGTCGATACGAAATCGAAGTTTGACTTACGGAAAATAGGGGCCTCGTTCCTTATGTAGGGTTCCTTAGGTCAACGCCCCGACTGTACGGCGAGAGCTAAATTTTGAAAGCGAACCGCCCTCCATCCCTGAAGCTGTGGCACGCTCTGAAGACGACATCGCGCACCGCTAAGGCGAGAGCCGAACTTTGAAAAGGGATCTCCCTGCATGGGTGATGCTGTTGCCCAATTTTCAGGCGAAGTGTGCCTGGCGCTGAGGCGAGAGCCACATGTCGAGGAGGAGCTGCTGTCCATTCGCGAAGCTCTTGCAAACTTTTAGGACGAATGTTCCCTGCGCTAAGGTGATTGCCGCATTTTTCAGAAAGGAGCGCCCAGCATATGTGAAACTGTTGCCAACTTTTAAGAAGACTATGCGAGGCGCTAAGGTGATATCCGCATGCTGAAAACGAGCCGCCCTCCATCCGCCATCCGTGAAGGTTCTGCAGACTTATAAAACCGCCGCATGTGCGCGGCGCCAAGGCGAGAGCCACATGTGGAGTAAGAGCCGCCCTCATTCGTGAGCCTGTTGCAAACTTTGAGAAGGATGCGCGCGGCGCGCAGGTGAGTCACAATTTTGGAAACGACCCGCCTTCCCTCCGTGAAACTGTTGCACACTTGTAAGGCACTGTGCGCGGCGCCAAGGCGATCACCACATTTTGAAAACGACCCGTCCTGCATCCTCTTTGTTGCAAACTTTAATTTTCACGATCATACATGGTGAGGAAGTCTTACGCGAAACGCCTGGCCCGCCCTATCGACACGTCTCGGGGTGCGATAGGGAGGAGATATGTAATCTGAGAAGGAGTGGAGGAACAACTATGGGAACCATAATATGAACGACAACGGAAGTGGTGGGGAGACAGTTAGAGCTGCAGATCGGCGATGCCTGCAGCGTGGACCGACTTCGGCAGTTCGAAGACGAGCACAAAGAGGGGGAGGATGGTGGGATAGTTGGAGGTGCACGGCATATGGGTGATGGGGAGAGAAATGGATGAGGATGACGAGGGGGATGGGGCGGGATGGATATATTCATGGGGATGGAGGGATGGAGGGAGGGATTCAGAGGAAGTGGATGGGGAACGTCTTTTCTGAGAGCTCGAGCACCCGTGAAGATTAAAGTAGGGTGCGACGCGGGGCAGGAGAAAGACAACGATTAGGACAATGACGAAGGCGAGAACGGGGAGGAGAAGGAGGAGGAGGAGGAGGAGGAGGAGGACGACGACTACGAGGACGACGATAACCACGACGAGGGCGTCGCTCTGGACAAGCCCGTCGGCGGCGGCGACAGCGACGCGGCTCGAGGAGGATCGATTAGGGTCGAGGGGGATCGAGGATCCAGCATCGAGCAGGATCGAGTTTCGATGCTTGAAGAGGATGGAGGACCGAGGTGGCGCGATGGGGATCCAGGATCGAGGTTCGCCCCAGGCGGACCGAGGATCGAGGATCGAGGATCGAGGAGGATCGAGGAGGATCGAGGAGGATCGAGGATGGAGAATCGAGGATGGAGGATCGAGGATCGAGGATGGAAGATCGAGGATCGAGGATCGAGGACCGAGGATCGAGGATCGAGGAGCGAGGATCGAGGAGGACCGAGGTTCGCCCCAGGCGGCCCGAGGCCCCGCGGCCGCGCTTGGCGGGCAGAAGCCGCCCGCGCGGGCGGCGCGCCCGCGCCCCCCGCCGCGGGCCATGGCGGGTGTGCCCTCCGGCATGTCCACGCTGGGGAGGACACGGCCTTCGCCTCCTCTGTCCGTTACTGGAGGGCCGTCGTAGAGGAACAACAAGGGACATAAACATGAAAACTCGGAGGTCCGCGCGGATTTCTCGGATCGGCGCTGGGGCCCCCTGGCGGCGCCTCCGGCGCCGCCCCTGGCGCGCTCCGCGCGCGCAGGGAGGGGGGTCCAGCGCCGAGACGAGAAATCCGCGCGGACCTCCGAGTTTTTATGTTTATGTCACTTTTTGTTCCCCTATGGAGGGCCTTCGGGACGGGGCCGCGCCAGTGTCCTCGTTTCTGCAGGTACGGGGTGCGTCCGGCCGGTCGTGGCGGGGGGGAGGTGGGCTCGGGCGCGGCCACGGTCGGACGGGGCTGGGACGAGGGCAAATCTATTCCAGAGCGTTCCGGAACGTTCTCAGAGCGTTCGGGAACGCTCGGGGAAGGCCGCGGCGCCCGATACATCTTCCAGAGCCGCTGGATCTCAGAGATTCTCGATTTATCTTCACCCGATTTTGTCCTCGTCCTGACTTTTCTTACTAAGATCTCTTGCAGTGGGGGGTCGGGGGGAGGGGGGAAGGAGGCTGCTTCTTAGAAGGGGTGGGCCTTATCTACAGATGTAAGGCCAGCGCCTTCCAGGAAGCAGCCTCCTTCTAAGAAGCCTTGCCCCCCTCCCCCTACCCCCTTGTGCGCGCCGCCGAGATGGAGAACCACTGCACGCGCATATAACCTTTCGGAGGCCAGCGCGGATTTCCTGGATGGGCGCTGGTCTTTTTGCCCTGACGCAAGCGTGTCCTGAGGGAAACGGGGCCTATTTTTGTTTCGCCGTCCTTGACCTTTGGGGGGGACGTGGCCTTCGCCTCCTCCTTGACATTTGGGGGTTGGGGAGAGGGGGCCAGTCACGTCATGATTCGAGCCTTCGCTGTCCAATAATGCCAGGAACGGCCAACTCCCGGACTGCGCTGGCGCGAATGGTGATGTGATCAGGGAGGAGGAGGAGGAGGAGGAGGAGGAGGAGGAGGAGGAGGAGGAGGAGGAGGAGGAGGAGGAGGAGGAGGGAGGCGAGGGGGGGGCGGGGCGGTGCAGGGCTGGTGGCTGGTCACGCGCGTTATCGCAAAATATTCAACATTGTTTTTCGAAGAAGAAAATCGGTATCCTTTAACCGACCCCCATCTCCATCCTCATCCCCTTCGAGACCCCCACAAAATGACCACCCCAGGTGGGGGTACACCCCTCGAAACCCGGAGGAAGTGGCCCATATCCCCATCTAGGTTCAGAAAACAGTTACAAGCATACCAATTTGGAGGTCCGCGCGGATTTCTTGGATCGACGCCCCCGCTGGCGGTGCCCCTAGCGCCGCCCCTTTCGCGCTCAGGGATGGGCGCCCATTGCCGATCCGAGAAATCCGTGTGGACCCCAGGAAGTTTATGCATATGCCGTTTTTTCTTCTTCAATCATCGCCGTTTGGAGCAAGCGATGCGGCCCGGGGGAGTCGAGTTTAGGAGGTTCTTTTTTGCGCGGGCGTTTCTGTTGTTCTCGTCGCCGCGGCCAGACGTATCTCGAAACATTGGCCGCGATGGACCCGGGAGGGGCCTCTGTTTCGAAGATCGGGTCAGTTGTTTCCTTGCGGAAGCAATCGTTTTGTAAAGCGTCAGCCCAGAAATGTTACGGTGATGCAATGGAGCGTGCCGACATGTATGTGCATTCTTCTGGGCCAGCTCTGGGGTAGCTCTGTGAACCTGTGGTAGCGGGCGGCTCGGGGGTAGAGGTTGCAATGGTGACCCACTCTGAAACGGATTTCGCGGGGAAGAGACGTTGGACGCGGGGCGACGAGTGGCGGCGGCAGCGACAGTGGAAGCTGCCGTGGGCGCGGACACTCTTTCTCCTCCCTCCTGCTCCTCCTCCTGTTCTCTCCTCGTCCGCCTCCTCCGCCTCTTCCTCCTCCTCCGCCTCTTCCTCCTCGTCCTTCTCCTCCTCCTCCTCCTCCTCCTCCTCCTCCTACCCCCCTCCTCCTCCTCCTTCCTCCTCCTCCTCTCTCCTCCTCCTCCTCCTCCTCCTCTCCGCCCTTCTCTCTCCTTTCCCTAATTTGGGGTTAGGCGCCAGCTTGGCAGGAGGAGGAGGAGGAGGAGGAGGAGGAGGAGGAGGAGGAGGAGGAGGAGGAGGAGGAGGAGGAGGAGGAGGAAGAGGATGATGATGAGGAGGAGGAGGGAGGACTAGGAAAAGGAGGAAGCGATTCCCCTCCTCTCCTCTTTGACTGTCGGGGGCAACGTCAGGGAGGGTGGGCTCAGGACGGGATGCATCGACCCTCAGTCGCCCATCGATCGCCGATAAGGCTCGTTAGCCCACCCCTCCCATGAACCTACGGATTTGCTATTGGGGGCATATCTCCGATCAATCGGCGAGGTATGGCCGATTCCAGGTCGATGTTTCCCCCTCTGAGCCAGCCCCCCTATCGCTAACGCTCATTCTGGGCAAGCGTGCTTCTTCTGCTCCAGCTCGTCCAGAACAGTTTCGGCCACGCCGCTGGAGATGGGGGTCGAGGTCCGCGCGGATTTCTTGGATCGACGCCCCCGCTGGCGGTGCCCCTAGCGCCGCCCCTTTCGCGCTGGGCGCCCATTGCCGATCCGAGAAATCCGTGTGGACCCCAGGAAGTTTATGCAGATGCCGTTTTTTCTTCTTCAATCATCGCCGCGTGGAGCAAGCGATGCGGCCCAGGGAAAACGAGTTTAGGAGATTCTTTTTGCGCGGGCGTTTCTGTTGTTCTCGTCGCCGCGGCCAGACGTATCTCGAAACATTGGCCGCGATGGACCCGGGGAGGGGCCTCTGTTCTGGGAGGGGTCCCAGGGCCCGGTGAGGACCCACGGATGCCGAAGCTCGACAACGCTGCCCGTCGTGGCACTGTCCACGGAGCGAGGGGTCTGGGCTGCTGGGCCTATTTTCCACCACCACCACCATGAGTTGGAGGGGGAGGGGGTCCTCCTGCTTCTCCTCCTCCTCCTCCTCCTCCTCCTCCTCCTCCTCCTCCTCTTCCTCCTCCTCCTCCTCCTCCTCCCTCCCTCCCTCCTCCTCCTCCTCCTCCTCCTCCTCCTCCTACACCTCCTTCCCCCTCCAACTTAACTTATGGTGGTGGTGGTGGTGGTGGAAAAAAGGCCCATTATGGGCCCTTCCGCCGCCCGCGCCGCTCCCGCGCCGCAGCCGCAGGATGGGCCCGCACCCACGCGTGCAGGTCTCGTCGGAGATGGACGTCAGGCGCTGGCACGCGCGCGCGTGCGCGACGGGCCGCGTGGCGGTGAGCTAAGCCTGGCGCAGGTGGTCGTGGAGGGTGATGATGATGCTGCTGCTGATGATGATGATGATGATGATGATGATGATGACGACGATGATGATGATGATGATGATGATGATGATGAGTACGAGGATGATGATGATGAGGATGATGAAGGTAAGGGCGAGGACGATGACGAGGGTGAGGACGAGGATGAGGATGGGGTGAGGATGATGTTGCTGATGGTGATGATGCTGACGACGATGACGATGATGATGATACTGATGATGATGATGATGATGGTGATGATGAGTACGAGGATGATGATGATGAGAAGGATGACGGTAAGGGCGAGGACGAGGACGAGGGTGAGGACGAGGATGAGGATGGGGTGAGGATGATGCTGCTAATGGTGATGATGCTGACGACGATCACGATGATGATCGACGATGACGATGATGATGATACTGATGATGATAATGATGATGATGATGATGATGCTGATGATGATGCTGATAATGATGTTGACGATGGTGATCATGTTGATCATGATGATGCTGATGATGACGACGATGATGATAATGATGATGCTGCTGATGATGATGGTGGAGGATGATGATGCTGATCTGATGATGCTGATGATGCTGATGCTGATGATGATAAGAATGAGCATGAGGATAAGGATGAAGACGAGGACGATGATGAGGATGAGGGTGAGAGGGAGGAGGAGGAGGAGGAGGAGGGCGGATGCTGCTGCTGCTGATTATGATCATGATGATGACGATGCTGATGCTGACGATGATGATGATGATGAGGAGGAGGAGGATGATGCTGATGTTGATTGTGATGATGAAGCAGATGATGCTGATGATGCTGATGATGATTATGCTGCTGATGATGACGTTGATGTGCTTGAATATGATGATCATGATGCTTACGATGATGATGGCAACGATGATGCTGATGATGATGATGATGATGCTGATGATGATGATGATGAGGATGACCACGACGATGATTACGATGTTGACGATGATGATGATGCTGATGATGATCATGATGCTGATGATGACGCTGATGATGCTTGATTATGCTGATCATGATGATGATGACGATGTTGATGATGATGAGGATGGTGATGATGTTGCTGCTGATGATGATGACGCTTAATGGTGCGGGTGATGCTGATGCCGATGTCGATGATGCTGACAATGATGATGAATGATGCTGCTGCTGCTGAGGATGAGGGTGAGGGCGATGATGATAATGGGGATGAGGATGCCGACGATGCTCATGATAAGGATGACGATGATGATGATGATGATGATGATGATGACGATGCTGATGAGGATGATGATGATGAGGATGAGGATGATGATGATGATGATGATGATGATGATGATGATGTTGATGTAGATGATGATTATGATGATTATGACGATGACGATGACGATGACGATGTCGATGATGATGATGATGATGATGCTGATGATGATGATGATGAGGATGATGATGATGATGATGATGCTGATGATGATGATGATGCTGATGATGCTGATGATGACGTTGCTGATGGTGCTGCTGCTGATGATGATGATGCTGATGATGACGACGATGATGACGATGAGGATGCTGTTGATGCTGATGCTGATTATCATGCTAATACTTGCGACGATGATGAGGATGAGGATGATGACGACGATGGTGGTACTGATGATGCTGATGACGAGGATGATGCTGATGCTGCTGATGCTGCTGATGTCGCTGCTGCTGTTGCTGCTGCTGATGATGATGATGATGATGATGATGATGATGATGATGATGATGATGATGATGCGGCTGCCGATGATGCTGCATGATGATGCTGCTGCTGAGGTTGAGGATGGGAGTGATGATAAGGATGCGGATCAGGAGGAGGACGAGGACGATGCCGAGGATGGTGATGCTCATGATTATGATGACGATGCTGATGATGCTGACGTTGATGATGCTGCTGACGATGTTGCGGTTGATGGTTCTGATGGTGATGCTGATGATGATGACGATGTCGATGCTGCTGATGATGTTGATACTGATGGTGATGGTGATAATGCTGCTGCTGCAGATGATGATAATGAATGGTGCTGCCGCTGCGGATGACGATGTGGATGAGGCTGATGAGGATTCTGTGGCTGCTGCTGACGATGACCATGATGCTGATCATGACGACGATGCTGCCTCTGATGATGATGATGCTGATGATGCTGATACTGATGATGCTGACTATGCTGACGATGATGACGATGATGGTGATGGCGATGATGATGATGATGACGATGCTGATGGTGGCGATGCTGATGATGATGACGATGACGATGATCACGATGATGACGATGCTGCTGCTGATGAATATGAAACTGATGATGATGATGATGATGATGAGGATGATGATGATGATGATGATGATGATGATATCAGCCAGCGTTGACTCCAACTAGATAGATGGACACGCGAAGAGCGAGACATGGCGAAGACGAGGAGGAGAGGAGGGGAGGAGAGGAAGCCAAGCATGAAATGACAAGCACAAAGACGCGATCATCAAGAAGCGAGCCGCCATGCAAGTACGGAGAGACATTGGAAACAGAGGGGGTGTCATTGGAATACTGGGGGGTGACATTGGAAAGGAGGGGGGGGGCTAAAGGCCAATTACTTATGAGGAGCTATGACTCCTATAGGGCAATCCTATTTGGAGAATAGTGATAATGCTGATGGTGATGATGACGATGCTGATGACAACGATGTTGCTGATGCTGATGATGATGATGCTGATGATGATGATGCTTCTCATGATGATGATGATGCTGATGATGCTGATGATGCTGCTGCTGATGATGATGATAGTGGTGATGATGCTACTGATGATGATGATGATGATGATGCTGATGATGATGATGATGATGATGATGATGATGCTATCAGCCAGCGTTGACTCCACATAGATAGGAGGAACGGCTTAGGACGAGAGGAGGATGGGAGGAGGACGAACGGAGGTTGGGAGCAGGACGGGAGGAGAAAGGGAGGAGCAACATCAAGCACGCGCAAGCAAGCAAGCGGTAGCAAGGAAGCGCCAGCGAGCAATCAATCACAAGCACGCAAGAGCCAGCGATCACGTGCACGCAAAAGCAAGGACAAACAATAGCAAGCAAGCGAGGCACGCACGCAAGAGCACGCAGGCAAGTGCCATTGGAAAACGTGGGGGGTAGCCATTGGAAACATGGGGGGGGGGGGCGCAATTGGAAAGGGGGGCGGGGGCCCTAACGACATATTACTTCTAATGGGCTAGGACCCCTATAGAGCAAGACTATTTGGATACTGATGATGATGATGATGATGATGATGATGATGTATGGTGGTGCTTCTGCTGAGGATTCGCTTGATGATGCGCATGATGCCAGGGGGAGGGCGAGGAGGAGGATGAGGATGATGATGGTCGATGATGATGATGATGAGGATGACGACGACGACGATGACGATGCCGATGACACTGGTGATGGTGATGACGATGATGGTACTGATGATGATGATACTGATGATGCTGATGAGGATTATGATTTTGATGATGATGCTGATGGTGATGATGGTGATGATGCGGCTGCTGCTCAGGATGATGCTGCTGATGCTGATGCTGATGATGAAGCTGCTGCTGACGATGATAACGATGCTGATTAATGATGCTGCTGTCGCTGATGATGAGGATAAGGATGCGGATGCGTATGATGACCTGGACGAGGATACTGTTGAGGATGTGCATGAGGATGGGGATGATGCTGTTGATGATGATGATACTGATGATGATGCTGATGCTGATGATGATGATGATGAAGATAATGGATGGTGACGGTTCTGAAGATGCTGATGATGATGTTGATGATGATGCTGATGATGATTCGGAGTCTGGAATTGATGGTGATGCTGATGATGATGCTAATGATGACGATAATGATGATGCTGATGCTGACGATGATGATGCTGCTGTTGCCGAGGATGAGGATGAGGATGAGGATGAGTATGCGGACGAGGACGCGGACGAGGCTGATGATACTCATTCTGCTGATGATGATGATGCTGATTCTGACGATGATGATACTGATGGTGATGATGATTGTGGAGCTGCTGCTGCTGATGGTCATGATGATGGGTGATGAATGTGATGATGATGATGCTGATTATGATGTTGATTATGATGCTGATGCTGCTGATGATAACGATGATGATGATGATGATGATGATGATGATGATGATGATGATGATGATGATGATGATGATGATGACGATGATGATGATGATGTGGGCGCTCCTGATGATGAGGACGAGGATGAGCATGCGTACGCGGATGCGTATGAGGGCGAGGATGCGGATGCTGCTGAGGATTAGGATGAGGATGAGGATGACGATGGTGATGCTGCTGATGATGATGATGATGCTGCTGACGATGATGATGCTGATAACGATGCTGCTGATGATGATAACTATGCTGATGAATGCTGCTGCTTAGGGTGAACATGAGGATGAGGATGATGTGGGGGGCGAGTGCGATGATGAGGATGAGGGTGATGATAAGGATGAGGAGGTCCATGATGATGACGACGATGATGCCTATGATGACGATGCTGCTGAGAATGCTGATGCTGATCATGATGAGGATGACCATGATGATGAAGGATGATGAATGTGACCATGATGCTGCGGATGATGATAGTGATGATGAGGATGATGATGACGATGCGGATGATGATGCTGCTGCTGAGGATGTTGATGCTGCTGATGTCTATACGGATGCTGGTGGTGCTGCTGCTGATGATGATGATGATGATGCTGATGCTGATAATGCTGCTGATGATGCCCATGTTTTGACACGATATTGATGCTGATGCTGAATGATGGTGCTGCTGCTGATTGTGATGATGATGAGGATGCTGCTGAGGATGAGGACGAGGACGAGGAC